CAACCATCTGAAAAGAGCATATATGAAAACAGCACTAGGGACCCCCCAATACAGCACACCATTGAAGAGAGCACCAGGGACCCCCCCAATACAGCAACCATCTGAGAGCACTGGGGTCCCCCAATACAAATATGAAAACAGCACTAGGGACCCCCCAATACAGCACCCATCTGAACAGAGCACCAGGGACCCCCCAATACAGCAAAGATCTGAAAAAGAGCACAAGCCCAGACAGCAAGGATAACTTGGCACAAACCTGTAGGAGGATTACATTGTAATTCTTTCTAACCAGCTGCCCACATTCCCGGCAGGTTGTAGACTCGCAGAACACTCGCAGCACAACTTCTAGGTGACACTTTGTGAATTTGTAGCAAATTTGCTCAGCAAGTCTACAGCAAGAGTCCTGCAGGTCTTAGCAAGAGCTCTGCGAGTGTACAGCACTATTCCAAAGCACATTGATCTGGAGACTTGCACTTCAGACTTGCTCTAATTGTGCAACACAAATTGTGAAGCTTGCCAAGTCTAGCAAGTCATTTTATCTGGGAGGCACCCCCCCCCAATACAGGAAACATCTGAAAAGCGCACCAGGGACCCCCCAATACAGCAAACATCTGAAAAAAGCACTAGTGACCCCCGTTATATATTACACACAGATGGGTGGGCGGTATATAGATCGCACACGCAGCGCAGTTCTACTTACAGCCACTGGATGGCGCCTGCGGACACGAAGCCGGAGCAGAGCAGAGCGATCCATAGAGGGAATGAAGCCATTGCCGGGTGTAGAATCCCAGGGAAGGTGAGGAAAGTCGGCGGGTGTATTGTGCAAAGAGGGTGATCTCCACCAAAACGTGTACAAGTCCCAAAATGTGAGTGAATTGTGTCTGTGTACGATGATCAGATGACACCGGGGAGTGTCCTGTAAGATTCCGGCTCTAGAAGTATCCCGGGAGCCCGCTGTCACTTCTCTTCTATGGCTCGCTACATTGTGTCTGTCTCCAGCAACCCTGATCCATTTAAAGCCCCATGTGACGTCACCCGGGCCCCGCCCCTGCACCGTGCAGGTGGGATCGCTCTGACCCCCCCCTCCCCCTCCCATAAAGGATGCGCTGCCTTCCTGTCCTCACCTGCATAGCAGGTACATTACCGTATATATATCACTCTGCATCTCATTATATACATCCATGGCAGGTACAGTATATACAGGTATATATAGATCCATGGCAGGTACAGTATACAGGTATATATAGATCCATGGCAGGTACAGTATACAGGTATATATCACCCTGCCTCTCATTATAAATATCCATAGTGTGTACATTGTATATGATGTCATCCGTGGTGTGTACATTGTATATGATGTCATCCGTGGTGTGTACATTGTATATGACGTCATCCATGGTGTGTACATTGTATATGACGTCATCCGTGGTGTGTACATTGTATATGACGTCATCCTTGGTGTGTACGTTGCATATGATGTCATCCGTGGTGTGTACATTGTATATGATGTCATCCGTGGTGTGTACATTGTATATGATGTCACCCTGATACTGGCTCTGAGTGCTCCTGGCAGAGGTGACATGAATTGGATTATGGGCTTTAATCTCCATTCATCACAGAGACCACTGGGGGGGGTTTCGGTGGGATAATGACAGATTAGGACCCCCCGCCCCTTCCCCCCATTATAGGATTAGAGTCCACAGGTGACGTCAGCGGATTGCAGGGATTTCAGATTTATATATAACAACTATTTTATTTCTGAACAATGGCTGAGAAAT